TGTCAGAAATAAAGTGCACAAATGTTGCCTGAATAGAATTGACTATAATATAAGCTTCACAAACTAGTACGGTGAATGAGTTTAACCAGATAGCCTTACTTGAGCACCTTAGTCTGAGCCATTACACCGTCAGTGGCAGCGATCACCAAAATAGCAGCATCCATTTGAGCCGTTCCACAAATCATGTTCTATAAAAAGAGAAATAAAATAGGTATCATAAAATGTGACGAACACTTTGCTGCAAAGTTCACCTTAATGAAATCTGAATGTCCAGGACAATCAGTATGGGAATATCTCCTGGCTGCACTTTCATATCCAATGTGAGCTATATTGATAGTAATCCCTCGCTTTTTTTCTTCTTTAGCTTTGTCGATTTCATCAAACTTCACTGGCTTAGCCAATCCTATAAAAAAGACGCTACACATGATGCAAATCAAAAGCCACATTCAGTCGTTCCTCTGCTACCCCGATCAGAAAAGCCCTTCTGAAGAATTCTTTCCTAGACCAAGTGTTCTGCACCGGCTTGTTTCACGGCCTTCCAGGGACAATAGTAACAGATAGTAGCAGAGGACCAACTACGCGAACTCAGGAGGAACCTTTCGAAACAGTTTCCCACGGAGAGGAACAAGACAAACAGGGTGCGCATAAAATATTGCAACACAACTTTACCACATAAGTTTGTGTGCACAAAAATAGTGCTACGTTATTGATCTTCTGATTCCACGGTTTCTTCTCTACCTCTCCTCGAATTTCCGTACAGATCTAGCCATTTGAGAAAAATGGTCATGTCTTCTACCCACCAAGCCTCAATTGCGGATTTGCGCGGCCTTGGAATGGCACCTGTCGTGATCGCTCGTTCTTTTGGGCTGCCACGCTCAACGGCCAACAGTGCCAATCGTCGCTTCCACGAGGAAGATTTTCTCAATGGCCTTCCTCATAAAAGGTTTCCGGTGACTGTTGAGAACGATCAACACGTTGCACTCATCAGAAGCAGATTACTTCGAAATCCGAAACGGAACATGAAGAAGATGGTCAAGCAGTACAAGATGGCGGAGGTGACGGTCAGTAATATCGTCAAACTAGGAGAGAATCGCCAAGCAGGGCAAGGTGGCAAGTTGAAGCTGCTTCCGACGCACAAAACCACTATGGGCTCGCCAGGACGTCTAGGGAAGCTGATAGGAAAGGGAAGTCGTCACTCGAGCCGTTTTCCGGCACAGTCAATGTTTTATGAAGTAGTGAACTCGAATGAGAAAATGCCACTTGCCTTCGTCGAACCTCGAGTCAAAATCAACGAGGTACAGTAGTTAAAGATCATTCTAAAGATAAGTGTTCTCTCTGGGGTCCTATGCAACCGTGGTCTTTCCAACAAGACAGCGCACCAATGCACTAGATAAAAAGGTGTAGACGTTGTGCAAGGCCAATTTGCCGGGTTCACAATAGTGAAGAGTGGCCTGCTTACTAAACGGGTCTGAACCTCCTCGAGTACGCTATTAGCAGCATTCGAAGGAAGAGGCTTGCGCTTTTCTCCATCCCAACCTCTACTCTTTCAAGATTCCCTCTGCAGAAAGTGGGAGAAGAAAGACGTGAACTACCTGCCTACAGTAATCGAGCCATTCCCAGAGCGAGTAGAGCCGAAATGAAAGGAGTTCGCATCTAAAAGTGAAAGAAGGGGATCTTTGGAAATATGCGACAAACATCTAATCCAATTCACACTTCATTTCATGCGACCTTGCGGAAAATCGGGCTTGAGGGGATTGCAATATTTAGTAGGTAGCATATATGAACTTCAATTGGAGCACCATATGCGCATCGACGGCAAGGAGCTTAGCAGAATTGGAAACGGTTCCTGAAAAACATGAAAATCATAACACACCTTGTTTGCTCAACACTTGAGTAATGGCTGCGGTAAGCGTAGTCTTCCCATGATCAATATGCCCAATTGTTCCAACGTTGTAGTTGGGCTTGTTCACACCTTGAGCGCGTTGCGAGAGGAACCTTATCGAATGATATCCGAACGCATTTTGATGGACGAGTTTTCCTCGCAACTCTATCAAAGAATTTTCGTGGAGAGATGATAGCCTGGATAAACATCTCGATATATGTAGAGCCAGTGGACGAACATAACCCATTCCGGCTTACCCAAGCAGACGAAGTCGATTCCTAAACGATTTGGATTGATTTCAACTGAAATCGAAGTGTAAAAAACGTTCATGGCAACATCAACAAAAAGACGAAAAGGAGGTAGGAACGATATTATTTGAGGGGATTTCATGCATGTTTAGAATCCCTGTATATTCACAACATCTAGACTGCCAGTGATGGCCCGAAAGTGAGAAAACTGACCCACGAAGAGTGAGTTCTACATAGGTCCTTCGAGACAAGGCTCCCATGGTTTAAACGAAAGTCCTTGATTGGATGCAACTTAAATTGGTCAACACAATGAAGATTGGGAACCAAGAAGCTTTTGACAACATTAGGCACCGATATCGGTTTCCAACTATCTGCTATTTAAGCAAAACTAATAAAAAAGAAGTTATTTTGCTACTCTTTTGAGGAAAACACATGTTTATTTTGATCATGACGCCAACACACTATCTGCCCTAGATCTGGGCCACGTTGCTACCCCGAACACCTTAGCATGGGACATTTGCGATTCCATTCCCATGGTAAAATGCTATTCAACTTTGTACCCTTGAGAGGAATTCCCGCAGTAAGTTAGTTTCTTTGAAGGAAACTATTTCATTCAGGTCCTGCTAGTGATCGCCATATAACACAAAGAAGCGGAATCTGTAATTCTCAATGCATTTAGGCACTCAAACAGAGATGTGAGAAATCTAGCCAATCTGGCTATTTTAAGCGAAGTTTTAGTTAAAAATAAGGGAAGACGACTGAGTTGTGTGGTGTACGCAACCGCGGGAGCTGCGCAAGTGACACGCTCGATGTACGGTTGGTATTTATACCAGGAAACGGTCAACCTATGTTTTAGGAGATAGGCAGCTCTCCTCAAACGAGGCCAAGTGGGAGAAACTATATCCTTCTGGGTAATATCCGTATCCAAGCATGGTTGAAGTCAGCTACCCCTTTTTCTCTGCACTCTAACGTTCAAGGTTGGAGACGAGATTTCCCCACTTCAACTAAATTTTCAGCTGACAATGGAAGCAATGTAGCTTAGAATTTTGGTAACAGTGTAAGCTGTGGGAATTCGAGTGAGCTAACGCGCACGGCGGAGCGTGCTTCACGACTGCTTCTGCGAAGGAACTGTTAATTAAGAGTGTCTGTAAATCGTCCAAAGTACATGATAAATGCAGCACAACCAAATAGCAGCATCCAATGGAATGGAAAAATACAAAGAGCATATACATAGGATTAACTAGGCAGAGTTACACACAGGAGATCATTCCGATAAGGTATGGTAGTCGTAGCCAGGGCTTCGCCCCCACGACGGGAGTGAGATCGTAGATGCCGTTCGTGGGCAGTGTACCTCGTCGACTCTTTGCTGTCCTAATCTTGCTTAGCGCTCCGCCTTGAAATTTCGTGGTGAGTCATCTGAAACATTAACATCTGATCGACGCGCTAGTACAGCGACAGCGTGGCTTACTCCTCCCCCTTTACCCAATGTCCGACCCGGACATTAAGAAAAGGTAGTAATACATGAAAAAGTAGAAAAAGTGTCTTACCAAAAAAGAGTCTTTCATAAATTTGAAAGTATCGAGGAACTTTTGCCGCTGTAACGGCTGCGTTGATGGAGTCCGCCCAACGCAACAAGGTGTTCCATATCGGTACTTGACAGAGTGAGGCAGCCTGGTCCAAGATAAGCTGGCCATGTCGGCACCGAGTTACCGCGACGTTTAGGCGTCAATATTCGTTGATAAATTCGCCATCTTTATCCTGAGAAAACTTCGTTTTTGTAGTCAATGAAATTACCACTTCCTTCTCGCGTCCTTGGACTGAGTCGACCGTGGTGAGCTCAAAACCAAGATCACCCATCTCTTCTTTCACGTGACGGTACTGTTCTCTGTAAAAAGCTATGACGCATATGCTTTAAGGGGGAATCCCTACTCCGATCAGTCGGTCTGTGAGGTGGCGGCAAATGATGGCCTCGTCCTCGTTGTACGAGGACTTACTGGGGCTCTAATGGTTGTACCTATCGCATCTATGAACATAAAAGGGACGTGGGGCGTGAGAAAGCGCATCCTGGAAAGGAGGGGACGGCGTGCTTGCCCGATTGTGCCGCCTACAAGAGTTCCATCGTAGGCGATCACATTAGGGAGAGCTATGAGTGCGGGGTTAGATCTAAAGGTAGTAACTAGAGGGGCTACTAGGACTACCGGGGAATCTAGGAGAAGGCTCATGACTCTGCGTGCGCCCTGATGGGCTGGATTAGAGTTTGGCGGACACTTAACACGTGGGGCCAACTGATGCATGTCGCCAGTATAAACGTGGCGAGCATGAGACAAACACCCTGCGATGGTTAGGAGTGCCGGTTCCGGTATCTGGGAAGCCTCATCACCTATTATAATGAAAGAGGAAATTTAGGACTTAAAGATTCTGGAACGTGCTGTTAAGTCGAGGAGGGAGAAGGTAGTCATACATAATACCGAGGGACGATTCACCGCAAACAAGTTTTTAACCATGCGTTTGAGCGTGCGGGATACATACCGTTCAGCTACCTCATATTCCTCCTTCTCGTCATCCGTCATGTCCGGTATCGCGTCGGGGTTGCCGATATAGTTTTCGATTATGGAGCAATATCGTTTAAAACGTCGGCATACTTTCAAATCCTCTTCTGAAAGCTGGTGCCGTGATCTGTCACGAAGAGTAAGAAGCACCTTGCTGAGATCTACAGGTGCGGGCGTGAGATTGTCCGCAGCGGCCGTATCCGAGATATGGCGAACCACTTCTTGCATTTTGAGGAAATCGCCCAACGACAGCAGCGTTTCTGTGAATTGAACTGCCACCGCATTCGTTGATGTTGTAACGATGACAGTAGTCTTGGGAGTCTTATCAGAAGGCACCGCTATAAGTGCTCCAACCAGTGTTTTGCCGGTGTCAAAAGCGGCTTGAATGGCCACCAGCGAAACATAATTTGCGCCGATGCGGACGGCGACCCGTTGGCCTGGGGTCAACGTGAGAGTGCGCTGGTTAACTCTGAACGACCGGGCCTCCTGAGACGGAGCTTGAAGGGAGCAGAGATATCCCTCCTCACTGGCTACCAGTAAGCTCGCGCACAGAGCGGAGCGTGCTTCACGACTGCTTCTGCGAAGAAACTGTTAATTAAGACTAATTTGTCTGTAAATCGACCAAAATACATCATAAATGCAGCACAACCAAATAGCAGCATCCAATGGAATGGAAAAATACAAATAGCATAGGCATAGGATTAAATAGGCAGAGATACACACAGGAGATTATTCCGA